GGTCAGGGCAGGGATTGAATCCTAAAGACCGCCATTTCAAGGGTAAAAGGAGGGACCCTTAATAAGGACCTCTAGGTATATACCCTAAATATAGCTATTATACCCATAGTTATAGCCCATTCTAGGGTAGGGGTCCCCATTAAGGGTCCCTCCTTTTGCCGTTTGAGCCATGTCTGGGTACAGAGCCCGGCTGGCCACGGCATAGCGACCCTCCTGTCGCACAGGCAACTTTAAAGGGATCTATAGGGAACTTTAGAGGGATCTATAGCGTTCTGTAAAGGGATCTGAAGGGTTTAGTGATTAGGGTCTACTTAGAGGATCATGGGACATGGTAAGTAGGGTAAAAGTACCTTCACTAGGATCAGACGTTTGAAGGGATCTATAGGGGTACTGCAAGGGTTTAGGATTTAGGGTCTACTTGGAGCATCATGGGACTTAGTACGTAGGGTTATAAGTACCTTAATTAAGGCTATAAGTAGGTACAACTATAGTCACCTTACTTATAACCCGATTTACTATGTAAGTCCACTGATGCTGAGTGAAGCGGGAGATTGCATGGCCCCCCAGAAGGATCCCAAAAGTAGATCCCCTCAGGCTGTTCCTATAAAGTACCCTTGAGTAGTTGGGGCCCCCTCTACTTTTTAAACCCTTCCTCGAAATGAAGCATGCGGACTTAGGGTACCGGGCTTGTGGGTGTATGGCTACACATCTCAGAGCGCAGCCTTCTCGAATTTGGGGTTCCGTGCAGGGCTGGGCTAAACAAGTAATGTCACCCATCTACATTGGTGCTGACTGACATAGCCGTGTATGACACGCTCTTTGGGAGGAATACCCTAAGGCAACACTCGAAAATGGTCTCAGTCTCGGGTATCCTGAAATCGATAATCCTGGCCCCAATGCCCTAAACTGGTATACCCTAAACCACCAAACAAACCCTACAACCCTAAACGCCCAAACTCTCGTGCACGGCCGTGAACACTAAATCCCCTAAATCCCAAATTCCTAAACTCTAGACCCCAGAAAGCCCCAAAACCCCCTAAACCCTCGCTGGTTGCATCTGTAGGGTGGCTGAGTATTTCCAAGCCACGCGGAGCTTGCGGATCATGTACATAGCTATGCGTCGCTTGAGAAGAGCCAGATGGATGCCGAAGTTGTACTTCGCGGGGCTCGGGTTTGCATTTGAGGCCTCATTCTAGAAACGAGCGATAAGGGACCCTGCCTCTAACCCGGGAGGAGGGATCATCGTGATCACCTCGGCTCGCAGCCACGGTTGACGGCTTTGATGCCCCGAAGGAGAAGCGAGGCTGTCCATGACAACAGCGCCGAAGTCGTGGCGGGGTTGTTGTTGATGTAGGTCTTCACTGCGAGGGCTTCGAGACCATTGAGGCTGGCCAGAAAGTGGTTCTTGCCATAAGAACCATCCAAAGTGGAGATGCACTTCATGGCTGCCTCGTTACCATGCAGCCGCGAGTACACCTTGAGGCATCGGCCAATCATTTCGCTGCTGCACCCTAATCCCCCGTGGCCCTAGAAGCCCTACCTAAATCCTTTTCGAGGCTATCGCGGTGCCGAAGGGGAACGCAGCCCTGAGACTCTACCATCCTATAAGCTACGGAATATTTGGGCTAGGGTTTTTTGACGGTTTAGGGGTTTAGGGTTTAGGGCAAAGGGTTTCTTTGTTCAAGCCTCATTAGGGTCAAAAGGAATTGTGGGTCACTTTCTAAGATGTGGGGTTTGGGATTGCGGATGTCTATGGAGACTATATTACAAGTAGGAGATATCACTGCTCTGACCATTCCGGGCCCTAATTACAAGGTGAGCAAAACGCGTACTTCTTGGAGACCGGTACAAGAAACCACAACCCAAGAGATGAAAGCTGCTTAGGGCTTATAGGTCTTAGGTTAAGGCTTATAGGGAACTCCAGAAAGTTGGAATATGGTTTCATGGTAGGATACCCTCTAATTTACCCTAAAGGGTTGAGGATAATCATATTCCAACTTTCTGGCTTTTGCTTTAGGTTAAGGTTTATAGGGCTTAAAGGGTTTAAGGTAATAACCCAAGAAAGGAAGCACACAAAACATAGGCGACGGCCATGAAGATAAGCGGGTATTAGTGCCGAAATTATTCCGACCGCATAAGTGTTTAAAACCCCCCTTGAACCCCTACCACATATTGTTTGTGTGTGTGTGTGTGTGTCTGTGTGTGTGTCTGTGTGTGTGTCTGTGTGTGTGTCTGTGTGTGTGTCTGTGTGTGTGTGTGTCTGTGTGTGTGTCTGTGTGTGTGTGTCTGTGTGTGTGTGTCTGTGTGTGTGTCTGTGTGTGTGTGTCTGTGTGTGTCTCTGTGTGTGTCTGTGTGTGTGTCTGTGTGTGTGTCTGTGTGTGTGTCTATGTGTGTGTGTCTGTGTGTGTGTCTGTGTGTGTGTCTGTGTGTGTGTGTCTGTGTGTGTGTCTGTGTGTGTCTCTGTGTGTGTCTCTGTGTGTGTCTGTGTGTGTGTGTGTCTGTGTGTGTGTGTGTCTGTGGGTGTGTGTGTGTCTGTGTGTGTGTGTGTGTCTGTGTGTGTGTGTGTGTCTGTGTGTGTGTGTGTGTGTGTGTTTGTGTGTGTGTGTGTGTGTGTGTGTGTGTGTGTGTGTGTGTCTGTGTGTGTGTGTGTGT